AAGGTTGACCCTTTTGGCACTTTGGGTATGTGTATCTGTATGTGTATATATATATATATATAGGTATATGGAGATGTATGCATACATATATATATATATATGTAATATATACATATATCTATATATATATATATATATATACAAACAAGAGCCGCCGAAAAAACATAACCACGAACAAATTTGAGCAACGGGGCAAAGTAAACCCTAGATTGCACCCTTATGACCACGCCAGCAGATATTGAGATCTGAGCGATGAATAGCCACAACCCCTTCTAGTCCCTCCTCTTACACTTCTTGCCAGAGTACACCACCCAAACCCTCTTCGTCAGTCAGGTCCCAGAAAAGACATCAGCAAACTAGCCGCCACTGTGCTTGGATGCCGAGAACCTCACCAACTTCCGGAAGACCCTGAACCCTCGAAGAGCTCGCAATCCCGACACCCTAAATTCCTAGACTGAGACCCTCAAACCAAAATCCAAATCTGGGAAAACCCAAACCCACCACCACTGAAACCGAACGCAAAACCTGACCAACGGAGCTGAACCTGCAAAGTCCAAGCCCGCAAAACCTGGCTCCCGGCAAAACCCACATCCCCTTTCGAGCGGCAGAAGACCTAATTAATACAGGGGTCTTAGCAATTTGAATAGGGTTTTTGGGGCCCATTAATTACTTACACGATGATTATATTAAGAAACACCCCCGCCCTGAAAGAAAATGTATAGGTAATTACTTAGGGCCCAAAGATATTTAGAGGGAGCTTCAAACTCGGGACGCCAGCATAGACCCTAAATCACAGGATCTCGTTTGTGTGGATGCCTACATAATAAAGCACTCCATGTCGTCTGCAAGAAACAGGTACCTATGCTCAAGTCAAGTGAGAGAGCTTGTGACTGCGATTCATATTGGGGGTTGAGGGGTTCGAGCAGGCATAGAATCAGAAGAGCCCAGGCTTAGGGTTTGCAGAGCCAAACAGAAGGAAGATTCGTCAAGGAGAGCGGCGAAAAATCGAAAAGTGCCTCTAGTGGGCCAACTGGCGCCGAACATCTTGGACCTGGTGTAGTGTAAGGCCCCCCTCAAACGACGTGAAAGGAGACAGGGTAAGTCATTGCTGCACTGAAAGCTTGTGCTAGACCACGCAGTGTACAGTATTCGTAGGCTTCGATTGTAGTGTGCTTACACAGAAAATCCCAAACTTATGAACTCAGGAAAATCATGATTTTACGGAACCTTCCTCCGCATAACCCAGCAAGTACGGCCTTGTGGGGAGGAGGAGGCTTCCAGCGGAGGGACTGCCAGTTGGTGGACTGGAGATTCTCCCAGTGGTCAATGTCACCTGAAAATGCTGGAGTGCGATCTGGGAGTTGTGGGGTGACTTCGTGAGGACCGACATAGCTAATGCTAATAATTCCATAGGACCAGCATGATGCGCAAGATCATGTTGGTGCTCGCTTGGGCTTTGGTTTCGGGGACTTGAAGGCCTAGGATTTTGGAAGCACCAGCATAGCCGCTAAACAACACACTGCCTCAGCCCCTAATATGGGGCCTCAATAACTAGAATTGGGTTTTCGGGCCCATGATACCATATTTATAAAAGGGACCCCCCACCAAATAGCATTGGTAACTATTCAGGCCCTATATCATAGTACTCTGACGGTATCCTTACAGACCCTTTAAGGATCCCTTGAAAGGAACCCCCCCAAAATAGTATTGGTAATTATTTTGGCCCCAAGCGCCAAAGCGCAACCCATCCAAAAGAAGGCAAGCCGTAGTTCGGCCCTCGTAAAACAGTGGATGCAGCCGGGCGACGGCTGTCATCCAGCTCCACACGGTCCGCAAAGATCACCTTATGATGGGGGTATTCAAAGCTATCATAGGGCTTCTTTAAATGGCACCTTTTAACGGGTTCTATAAGGATGTCTATAAGGGTTGAAGGATTTAGGCATATCCGCCGGTGGGCTGTGAAAAAATCGCCACTAGCCTAGGGACCTAGGAATCTAAGAAGAAGGCCTCAATCTGAGCAGCTTTTGGCTTTTAGGCCTTTCGGGTTTGGGGTTTAAAGTTCAGGAGCTGAAGGGTTCGGGGCTTAGGAGTCTACACGAGCTTAAGAAGTTAGGGCTTACTCTAAAGATTCCAAAAAATATCGCTGGGGCCCAAGCCCAGCGGCCTGCGTTCGATATGATTCTGGGGACGTTTTTCGCGGAATAATCTTGGTAAATATGCTTCTATAGGAGGCCCTCCCACATGACCAGAACTTCACCATAACTAGAAGCCGTCTCTTACAGTAACCTGCTGACGGTGCTTTAGGGTTTCGGACCCTATCCAGCCAACACAGCCCCATTTAGGGTTTAGGGTTGACTATACTGAACTTGGAACCCTCGCAAGAATTACCATTTTAGCAGTTTTTTAGGGATTATAAAAACCAAAGTTAAGAATTATCTCTAAGTAACCCTAAGTTGAGGGCCCCGAAAGACCAAACTCTCCTTTCTGCGCAGCGGCGAGCGGATCCCGCGCAAAGAGATGGGCAATGTGCTTTGCGAGGACCTTCGCATGAAGATGATGAGGTTTGGGTTTGGGGGTGCTTTGGGGAAGATCACGAAGATGGTTGGGGCGTTGGGGATAGGGTGTAGGGTTTTAGGGTTTAGGGTTGGGGATTGGTGGTTTGATTCGGATTGGGGTTTTGGGGGCTAGGGCACATGCTAAATGACTCCAGGCGGGACTTACATGGAGGTCACGGGTATCAAGTCAAGTCAGAGGTCCCGGAAATCGAAGAAGCATTCGACGCACCCACATCTTATCTTATGTGTAGCCCTATTCTAGACTCTCTACGAATGTTCCGATATATATATATATACACATATAGACGTAACTTCTTAAACAGATCGATAGATGGATAGATCAGTGTAGGATTTGATTAGATTAGGTTAGATTAGACGAGACTAGATTAGATTGCACTAAGTTTGATTTGATAGATAGATGGATATGCAGATAGGTAGATAGACTAGACAGATAGACAGATGGATACCTCTGGCGACGACTGACTGGAACTGAGATTCTCAAGGTTTGCAGGGCTTCGCGGGAGGATCCACAAAGTAGATCCCTTAACGGGGGTTCCTATAAACTACCCCTAGTAGTATAGGGCCCCAAACTAGGGGATCTAAAAAGTGTACACTTTCAGTTTTATAGTGGCTAATATCATCCCCAAAGGCGTGAAGTGTATCCACTCAGCTACTAAGAGGTTCAGAGCAGGGCTCAAGCACCAGGGTTGAGGAAGTATGTCTTCGGCGACTGCTAGGGCGGCGAGACGAGCATTATGCATGAACTTTGCTGCCTTCTAGGGTTACAGATAACAAAACCTATCAGAGTCGACCTTCCACCAATCTCTGCGTGCTCAAGTCTTCCAGCCGAAAGCTAGTCGAACCTAATCCTTAAACCCTAAACCGTCTATCCTAAGCTCCATGCAACCTTGAGCCTCCTTAGACCCTAAACTTGAAGCCGCCAGCTCCGAGGCCCGGAAAACCCTCACCTCGTCGACACCAGCGTCGCGAAGCTGGTCCAAGTGACCTCCAAGGTGTGGAAGCTCTTCAGGTGTGGGCTTGGGTTTTAGGATTCAGGGTTTGGGGTTTGAGGATGTTACACTGTTACACGTTCAACCGTTGCTGCGCTGTCACCGTCATGAACGCAATGGTAGTCACGGTCGCCTCTTCATTTTCATCATCACAATGTTCCTTGTATCTAGTCGCCTCAGCCCCCAACGCAAATCCTAACCCTGAACCTTACATCCTACGGCAAAGGGACCGTGGCCTCGCAAAGGACTTGCAGCGTGTCAGCAACTGACCGGCGGCAACTCAGGGAGTATGGCAGACCAGCGCCGGCCACCAAGAGCATCTGCTGGAAGTGGCCAGGGGCAGAGGGAGAGCCCACGACCTCCAGGAGAGACCCGCGAGCCGTCTTGAACCCAAGGACGGCTCTGGCTTTGCAGGCGCCTCTCCCATGCCTGGAAGAACGGATTTCGGATTTTCTGCCTTAGGGCGGTAGCAAGGAATCAGAAGGTCTGCAGGCCTGTACTGCCCGGAAGGAATCAGAAACTCTCTGAAGCCTCGCTTCTCACCGAGGGCCCCCCTGGCTGGCCGCAGCCGGCAAGGAACCCGGAGTTGCGTGGGAGCTGCGGTGAGGTGCTGCACCTCAAAGAGCGGGCTTGAACGGCGAAAATCAGAGAAAGCTCCAGACAGGGCCTTTAGGGCTTTAGGGCTTTAGGGTTTCGGGCTTAGGGGAATGCGGAAATTTGGGGCCCATCAGGGAGGGCACTAGCTGCAAGCCTTCACATTCCTGGCAAGTGGCTCTGCAATCACAGCTGCTGGACAAAGAACTACGTTTGGCCTCCGCCGAGGATGAACTTTGCCAGCTGCCAACTCTGTCAAGGCAGCTGAAACTGAGACAGACTCACAGTCATCATGCACGTTTATGGTAGCCCTTCGATCTTTCAGAACAAGAGGTTTGATGTCAGTTAGACCGGAATGTGGCAGGATCATCGAACGGTAAGCGGTGAATGCAACTCGGAGCCTTGCTACAAAGAGCGCATGCGCAAAGGTGCAACTACGAGGCTGTCTCTGGCACCCCGCAAGGGTTCGAGCAGAGTGGATCTTTGATCATGATCTAAAGATCATAAACCACTGCTTAGGAATTCTGATTCGAAAACCACGAGAACAGTAATATGGTCCGATTGCAGGGTTCGCTTCGGGATCGGGACCAGCGAGCAAACTGTGATCTGTCCCGGCTCGACATGTTAGCTCCGAGATCTGCGACAAACCGGCTTCTGTGTAAAGCTTGATTGCATGAACTTCCGGCGGAGGACTGCATGGTGCCCTCGACGGCCGGAGGGCTCACAAGGCCCACTGCACCGCTTTGGGCTCAAGGCCCAATCCTTCCATGCACTGCTGGAGCCTGCCAGGTATATCTTGCTCTTCCACTTCTTGATGCTGGCAAAGTTGTAATGACATCAATCAAGCCTCTGAGCAGTGACGAGCATGTCGGAAAGACGGCCCTACACCAGACACAGGTTTTTCGAAAAGGCATCTGCCGACATAGCCGCGATGGCTCCTTGAGGCGCCGAAATGCAGGAGTTGCAAGAGGCTTGAGAGCGTCCTGTGATGAGGCGAGATGTCATGGGAAACGGTGCAGTGTGACAAGATAGAGCCCAAAATTACGGGAGACAGGCACTTCGGCATCATTTTACTGTTGCGTTTGCTTCGGTGATGCAGGCTGAGGCACTTGCCACTGAGCAATGCATCGACGACGGGCCGTCGTGCTAAGCTGCGGCCCACGTTGGCAAGTGCGAGAAAGGCGATGCGACCCCCAATCTGTCGCAAGTTCATCAGGCTATCCCATCATCAAAGAGGAGACTGCAGCAACTGCCGCATTCGGCTGAAGCAACTTGCTCCATGTCCACCTGATCGTGGGCTTAGGCTCTATGATTGCGGTAAGTTTTCTAGGTATCCATCAGGGTTTGTCATATACACTACGACTGCTTACATCAGGTTCTGAGGTACTGAGCAGTGGTCAATAGGTCAGTGAAACTGTAGCTCTGTGACTTCGTGGCACGTGCCCTGTTTGCCGTACCCCCAAGGGTCCAAAAGACCCAATAATTAGGTATTCGGTTTTAGGATAGTAGTTACGTAGGTTAAGATTTTGGAGAGTATATGATTATTAGGTAGTTAGTAGTTGGACCCTTGGTTTACGGACTACCGCTTGGTTGACAAAACCTCGGCTACATCACTGCTTTGGGAATACTAAATCCTACACGGCCCCATCGCCCTCCCGCGCTGCAGGGAAGATGCCGAGGTCCGACCTATATTCAAGGAGCCTTTCTTCTTCAGGGCCTCTGATTAGGATCCCCTGGAAATCATGTCATGTTGTCGAATATAGGGGCCTCAGTAGTTACCAATACTATTTTGGGTGTTCCTTATTGTAATTATATATAGTATAAACTCCAATCTTTTACTTCCAGAAACTCTGGGCTATCGGGCTACCTCAAACACACCCTGTGCACAGCGGCGAGGCCTGCGAAGGCTCTGAAAGAGCTCCGAGTCCAGCAGCATCGTGGATGCCGAGTTTCTTGCAGAGGAACCGACAAAACAGCACACAAATAAGCTTTCTGCACAACCTCAGCACGTCCGGAAGAAGGTGGGGCATCTGTGGCTTCGAACCCAGGAAATTCAGCGAAACTCCGAGGCGACTGCTGAGACACGAAGTCATGAAACTTGCATGACCACGACAGCTTTGGACAATACATGCAGAGCAGGGCTATGACTTCATCCGTTGCTGAAGCTGGTCCCGGCGGCATAACGTCCGTCCCTTCTTAGGATTCGGAAGAGAAGGTCGGAAGAGCACCGGCTACAGATAGAGAGCGACCAAATGAGGCACCCGCCCTTCTCGCATCGTGAGAAGCCAGGATCCCCTGATTTCGAAGTGCATGGACTGTGGCAGACACGTACACGGGGTGCAAAAGCCTCAGATCTCTGCTTTCTCGAGTCAACACTGGGAGGCCCTCAGCGAGAGCGTCGGATCGAGTGCACGCACCAAACTCACCCAACTCTTCTTTGAAGACACGCGCACTGGAGCACTTGGGCTTCCGGCAGCGACGTCTACTTTGAGGGTTCGAGGCATGGACCACCAACAGCGGGCAGAGTGAAAGCGGGCATGCTAAGGAGTCTGGGACCTCTGGCCTATTGAAGTTGAACGTGTCGATTTGGCCTTCGGGAAGAGCCTGCTGCAGAAACACCCCTCCGAGGTTTCGCCTCGTCCGACGCCCTTTGTTGCAGCGAAGCAGAATCACCACACAGTTTTCAAGCTTATGAGTGAGCCAGCAAGTCCAGATTTTCTGCGCCGCAGATGAAGCTTGCCTCACCGAGGCGTGTGCCAAGTTTCCATCTTGGGGGCCGATCGCTGCTTGATATCGGCATGGGACGACCGCACTTTACAGCGCTCAGGTCAGGTAGACATGCACACACGCGGTATGTGTTTGCGACAAAAGCACAACCTTGAAATTGGGACCGAGCATGTCGATGGTTGACATGCTTGCCGCAACGACGTCTGCTTTGAGGCTTCGACCCGAGGCATGGATCACCAACAGTAACAGCGGGCAGTGTGCAAGCGGGCGTGCTGAGGTCTGCTACCTCTTGGCCCTTGAACGTTTCTGTTCGACCTTCGGGAAGCGTCTGCTGCCGAGTTCGCCTTGAGCAAAGCCCTTTGCCGCAGCGAAGCAGAATCACCACACTGCTTTCAAGCTCACGAGCGAGTCAAAAGGTCCAGACTTTCTTCACAGCAGGAAAAGCCTGCCTCACCAACACGGGTGGCAAGTTTCCATGCTAGAGGTCGATTGCTGCATACGGACACCAAGACCTCGCAACGAACCGTAGCCAAGAAGGAATGGGTCTTTTCAGCTCGAGGCGGCATCGGCTGGCGATCAAAGCAGAAATTTGAAACTGGGACATGGAAGGATCGGCCTACAGGGCCGCAGTGTTACCCAGGCTCTGTTCGGCTGCGAGGATCGTCGTCAGTCCTCTGAGCTGCCCGCTCGTGGCGCTTTATTCCTGCTCACTGTACCTCCTCCCGGCACTTGCCTCAAGCAATGCTCCCGTGGCAGAGCCTGTGCCAGTCGACACCACTTGTGCTTGGCCGCTGCAGCACATCTAGCTCTGGGCGCGGGCTCCAGGGTGCCAACTGAGGACACTTGCTTGCTTCGAAGCAATAGGTCCCCCGGCTCCTGTATCCATCAGGTTCTGATGGTGCTGAGCTCTCCTTTCTTTACCGGGTTTCTAAAGAGCAAGCGGTCAACCAAGATTGCCGTCAATTGCATCGGCATTGGCGAGTGCGGTAGGGCTAAACAGAGTGCACGGCCCTGTTTTGGAGGACCGCCGGCTGTCGGAGCAACGAATGTTGCGGAAGGGATGCCAGGGCCCGACTTGGGGGACCCTCTGTGCTGCTGGGATGTTGAAGTTGGCAACATCCTGAATCGTGTGCGCAAGCAAAACACTCTCTGAACATGTGGCCGGGCATGGCGACGCAGGGAGACTACACCACTACGCCGCACCGAACAAAGCAGTTTAAACGTTAAGAGTCTGTCTGCTCCTGGTCCTACTCGGTCATGACGGCTCCTAGGCTAATGTTCGTGACTGCCACCATGACAATCATGACAAGAACGCTGTGAGACATATCTTTTCTTCACGTACATATGTTGCCACAGACCAAAGTTTGTATGCTTTCGCGAACGACTTGAAAGAAGATTCCATCGGCGGCGACTGGCATGACATGGAGGGCTGCAGCAGGGCAAGGTTCACGGCGTTCAGGGAATAACACATGCAGCGTAAAGGACTTGCGTGCAAGCTGGCCTTCCGACCCGCTTTCTGGAAGAGCTCGCCAAGAAGCACCTGTGACAAAAACACGTGGGGCTAACAAGGTTGAGGTACGACCTCCCCGCCCGATTAGCTGCAGGAGTTTAGGATAGTTTAGGACTGATACAGTTACCGATGTTACCCTGAACCCCAAACCTAAACCCAAACAAGTGCGGGTTCTGCCGCAGGCTTCGGGTGTTGCATTGAAGAAGCTTGGCGTCTCAGCTACAGCAATCCAGAGGCAGTCGAATGACACAAAAGGGGCAACCCACATTTCAACAGACAACATTGTTTTATCTTGTACTATACTGTATTATGGTATACTACATCATACCATATTATGTATATATTGCAGCAGTATACTGTATACTGTGGTTTGGCATATTTTCGGGTTGAGGGTGTCAGAGGAGCATCGAATCCTCAAAACACACCCAAAAACGTCACACCCAAAGCTTCAATCGCTGCTTTCTCTTTGAAGATGCGGAATGCAGTCCAGAACCAACGCTTTCTACAACCAACTCTCTAGGGCCTGTAGGGTTTCGGGCTTAGGGCTTTCTATGCCGCAGCCTTGTCACGAAGAAAGGCGCTGGAGACGACCTGCTTCAGATCTAAGAGCGACCTGGGCCCACTCGGGGCAGCGAAGACAGGCATACTTGGAGGTTCATGGGTAGTTATAAGTGGCGGTTATAAGTGCCCTAATATGGGTTATAAGTATAGTTACCCTACTTATAAGCCTACTTATAACTACCCATGAACCTCCAAGTAGGGTGTTTACTCCAATAGGCTTCGGACCTTAGGGTGAGAATGGCAAGAGACCAAATGATATCAGCGATACTCCGATAGTCGACATGACGGGTAGCCAGAATTCCGAGAGGATCCAAATAGTAGATCCCTTACAGGGGGTTCCTATAAAGTGCCCTTAGTAGGGCCCCAAATTAGGGGATCTACTTTCTAGATCCTCCCGGGGTCTGGGTAGCAGCTTCAAAATGAAAGTCATAGAAGAGGCGGCCGTCCAGCAGTTGCAAGCATTCGCAACCACTAAGACAAACAAGGACAATAACAGGAAGACCTAATTACTATTAAGGGCTCCAAGGTATGCAAGTTTGCTTGTAGGTTTTCGTAGCAGTACTGCTGCTGCAGTAGCAGTAGCAATAGCGAACAGCAGGGGAAAAAACTGGGAAAACATCCCACGGTCTTTGTGTAACGCAAAGCATAGCACAAACCTCAAGGAACAATGCCACTAAGCACTCAAGCCCCTGCCTGCTATTTGGGGTTTCCGAACATAGGGGACCCTAATATAGTACCCTAGATAGTAGGATCCTTATTATAAGGACCCCCAAAATAAGGTACCCCGAATTTTCGGAACCTCTCATTAAAACCCTTTTAGAGCCCTTTAAAGGAGCCCTTATAGTACCCTTACAGTACCCCTTTAAAGGTACCCCGAATTTTCGGAAACTCCCATTTTACTGTAGCTCCGAGCTTTCGCTGCAGCGCCTCGGACCTGAAGCCTTAATCTGTGTAAAGGGAACTCCAGAAAGTTGGAATGTGGTTTCAGGGTAGGATACCCTATAATTTACCATAAAGGGTTTAGGATAATCATATTCCAACTTTCTGGCTTTTACTTTAAGCTTGTGTAAAACCTAGAGGCCCTAAGCTCCGAACTCTTCTCTTAACCCTATGTCCTACCCAGAGAGCCCGATATCGATTGATTCAGGAATATCGCTTAAATCACAATATGAAGCCCCTAATGACTTAAGGTATGTTCCTGAATGAAGGGGTATTGGGCTCTCCAGGTAGCTCCTTGAAGCGGTGTAGCCATAAACCAAGGCCCCGAACTCGATATCCCGCTGCATCTCCTTCACAAGCTCGGTCAGCACCTCAAGGTCAGGAGTTTAGGGCTTGTCGCTTCGGCTTTAGGATGTTGGGTCTAGGGCTTGAGGTGTAGAGTCTATAGGCCTAGTTTTTGCGTAAAGGGGCGTTTTCCTCGCATCGGTTAGAGAAAGCCCACAGGGTTTAGGTTGTAGGCCTCGGGGCTTCAGGTTGCATGGTCTTGGGCCTCGGTGCCTCTCGGGCAGCGGGTCTGGGGCCCTCGCTTTAAAGTTAAATCTTCTTGTGGCACTTAATCGTAGAAGCAATGTCCGAACCGGGTTTAATAACTCACTTACAGACCGCAGGTGACATCTGCCCTTGATCGTTCGGTATGTCTTGTGTCTTTGAACTGTGGGATATATATATATATATATATGTGTATAAATGCGTGTACAAACCCTGAACCGTCGACCATCGCCAACCCCAAACCTCGACACGAAAGCCCAAAGCCTCAACCCAAAGCCCTAGACAAAGCTTGAACGCCTACCCCTGAACCCTGAACTTCCTAAATCCTTCACACCTCTCCAATCCCAAGTGCAACTAGTCAACTAGTATAGAGGTTGGAATAAGTCAAAAGAAGAAGACTAAAAACACCAATGTAGTTACTTGTCATTATATGTCATAATACAAAGAGGTCAATAGTAATAGCAGTAACAATAGTCCTTATCGTCCCTCAAACTTCTATACTACAACCCTAGTCTCATTATCAAGGCCCCTAAATCCGAAACCCCACAGCCCTTTATAGTAACCCTTATAGAAACCCTTATGGGAACCCTTATAAGCAACCGAGGCCCCAAAAAGCCCCGAAAGGCCCGGCGCTTCTTGGGTCCCTGGCCGTCCGCAGCTGCGGCCGGATGAGGGAGATCCAGACCTGCTCGTTTTGAAAGCTGGGTTTAGGGTTTAGGATTTAGGGTTTAGGGTTGAAAGCTGTGTTTTTCATGATTAGAATAAGGTTCCTTTAAAGGGACACTATAAGGAATGTATAAGGGATCTATACATATATATATATATATATATATATAGAAAGTGTAATATAGGAGCCCCCCGAACTGGAATAGGGTTCCTTTTGGGGGCCCATTCTACTAAGGAAATTGTTGGGCTCGTTTTAGCTGTCCTTTTTAATAATTAGAATAAGCTTCCTTTAGAGGGTTCCTCCAAAGGGACACGATAAAGAATCTACAAGGGATCTATAATATAGTATTTTTACAGAAAATAAGACATTACGGGCCCCATATTTACAGCATTACTGTTTTTCATGTTTTTGGTTTGCTTCAGATTTGAAGCAACATCACTCGTGCACACGATATGGTTATCCTCATATGCATATTCTTAAATAGGGTACATGTACGTATACCGCAGACGCATTGTATCTCATTTATCTGCAAGATTATACTATGAGACACAAAGAACAACCACAAGATTGAAGTGGCATTGATTTATCGGATAGTCTTCATGAGAATCCACAATGAAAGGTAGTCACAAGTGCATCCCATGCTGATTGGGAAAGGACTTCCCATATCAGGCATCAAGAGCAACAGGGTTAAGTAAGCTTGAAAACCACTAGTATGCAAACTATGACGATTGTAAGTTTTTGTAATGAAAACTCATAGAAAACAGCATTTTGACTGGAAAATATGGGGCCCGTAATGTCTTACACTCTCTATTTTTAATGTGCTGTTTCAAGGTTCTTATGTTCAGGGTTATTTTAATGTGAATTGATTCAAGGTTTAGGGTTTAGGGCCTAGGTTCAGGGTTTAAGGTTTAGGCTTTTTTAGTGGGCTCCGATTGGGTCCTTACTTAAGGACTCAATGCGGTTGTTGCTCTTGCTATTATCTGTCTTATTGTTACAGGCTTGGGGTGCGGGTTTCCTTTCTCGGATTTTGCTTTTTTAGGTTTAAGCTAGCTTGGCAAGGCTTCTGTAAGGTGCTTCTGGGTGCTATGGAGATGTCTTGGACGTGCGCCTCTGGTTACAAGGTACATAAGGCTTTAACAATGTCCAAAACCAAGGAACGCAGATGGCTATGTCTCACGCTTTTTTTGGTGGCTCCAGGCCCCACAGCACCCAAAAAAAGAATCGTAGCGGGCTGCGCCCCCAACACGTCCAAAGCAGGACCTTTACAAGGTCAAGGTCGCAATAAAGGCTCTGCATGTGGTAAGGTGGTGGCCGTATGATCCCGGATAACAAACCAACGCTGGAGCACTGAGAGCAACCGGCAGGTCAGGTCTGAAGGTCAAGGTGAGCGAAAAAGCCAGATAGAAAGCTGCAATATCTGATCCACTAGATGCAGCGTATTCGTCCAGCCATCACTTTTACTGCTGCGAAAGTATTCTGGCTGTTATTACTAGTTTTCGGGCCTTGCTTGCGTTTAAGCTAATGTGATTGTCATCATGATTTATCACCATGCCATCGTCGTCGTCATCATCATCTGCCCAGTCATGCCAAAGCCTCTCCCCAGGCAGCATCCTGCTCGATGCACTGCGCTACAGACCTTGGCTGCTTTTGCTTGGGGGGCAAGGGCATCCTAAAACTGATTCTCCTCCGCTCAGGACTACTGTAGGGACCTTAGTAATTCGAGGGTTTTGAGGATCCTTAGTACAGCTATAGCATAATATACCCCAAACCCTGTTCGAAATATGAAGGCCCCTTTTATAGTACCCTTATAGAACCCGTATATAGTATCCCCTAAAGGAACCGCTTAAGGGAACCCTATTCTAATTATGAAGGCCCCTATTTATCTTTACCATCATAGCATAGCTTCAGGCATCCGAGACCCTGAGGTTTTGCTGCGAAGGATCCGGAACCTTTCACCATTTCATTGCAGAAGAAGCTAGGGTAACTAGGGGCACTTTAAGCCCCATACTATAAATCGTACTCCCCTTCCCGCCCGAAAGCATAACCGAAACCGAGACTCCACAATCCCCCAAATTAACACCCTGGAACCCTACATGCTTAGCATAGTGGCCTTCACATTTAGACGCTCTAGCTAACTATGTAGGGGCTTAGTGCCATCTCTTCAGCCCTTTGTTTGAAACCCCTCTAAACACCCTTTTGACAACCCTAAATTACTAAATACCGAAACCTATAAGAGCTCCATGCAAAGATCAAGGCCGGAGGACGGCTCTAGAAGTTCCGCGAGCTTCGCTGCGTCCAGGCGCCCGAACGCCTCCGCTTGGGGCTGAGTGTATAGTTTGTTTCAGTGCGTTTGGGGTTTAGGTCTGCGGTTTTGTGTTTAGGCCCCTTGGGTGCGGTTTTGCGCGGAAACAGGTTTTCGTAAATTGCTTGCGGCGCCAGGATTCATTATTTGTGGAACTTCTTGTTTACAAGTCTCAGGGGTTCGGACTCCAGTTTTTCGCTTCTTGCCAAAAATGCTCTAGGCTTCAAGTTCTGATAAAACCGTTAAAACCCTAAACCCTAAGAACAAACCCTAAACCCCCCAACAAAACCCTAAGTTTTGCTCCAAGACGCAGGACTTTTTGTTCTGGTGCTTATTATAAGGATATGGGCCGATCTTTGTGGGCCTTGGTGCTGACGTGTAAGCCGGCTCGTTGGAATTGTTAGGCTGGTTGCAATTGCTAGGGTTCTCACCCGACTGTTGAGGGCTTCGGGTTTCATTTCGGGGCTTTTTGGTTCTCATGAGCAAGACTTGAAGTTCTGATGCCTAAGACTGTTAGGTCCTGCAGTGAGAGGTTTTTAAACTTGAGGGTTTGGGATTCAGAGTTTCAGGTTTTAGCCGCCGGGACAGGGGTTCATTGCTGTTGGGTTTGACACTCAGCAGCCGCCATCTGTTGGAGATCGCTGAGACTCGTTGGACCCATGACAAACCGAACACCCTTTCATGGCGTCGAAGTCAAACGGGAAGAAGACAAGCACCTGAACCTCCAATGGTCCTGGGCTACATTGTGTATGTATGGCTCGTTGTCCTGCATTTTGCGATCGTGGAATTCTGCATACTACAGCCCTCAGGGCAGCCCCAAGACTGTGACCCCTCATCAGCCCAACGCGAACACCCTGCGGTAAATCTCTGAACAAGTCAAGTCTGGTACTTGTCAAAGCCAGAGGCTGGAAGCCGTTCTGGCTGACTTCATAGCCTATCTCCGTTGGTGACCGGCTTGCTAAACGGTCCCCGGCTGCAAACAGTCGCTTCATTTCAATGCCTCCTTCAAGCTCAGCAGCTTCTCTGTGATGATGTCCACTAACCGCCTCATGGCAGCAGGTTTCAAACCCAGGTGGATTTCAAAACTTCACGGAAGGCATATCCACAATCCTGCTGCTTTGTGGTCATCTGACAGAAAGCCCTCAAAAGCTACATTCTTAAAGCAATAAGGAACCCTCACACCGACCAACTCTCAAGGTCCACAAAGGTCTAAGTGCAGGTGCGGCTTTGCTGATCTATCCAACCCCTTTACCCCTCTACCCTTTACCCCAAGCCAACGGAAGCAGAATCATGCTTGCACATCCTCTGAAAGCCGTGCCATTTCCTTTCACGGTCTTTCACGACAACATAGAACAGGACAGCCGACACGAACCATTCAAAACACGAGAAGAGATGCCAAAAATAATCAGACTGCCGAGGCATCATGCTGAAACCTTCAATCCGACAGCCGCTTACAAACGCGTGAACTCGCCAGAAACCTTCCTTGAACGGAGACCTTGTAGAACCCCTACAGCTCTCTTTAGCCCTTAAAGGATCCCTTTAAAGGGAACCCGTAAGGAACAAGTATGGAGGAGTCTTGGCCTGCTCATCTTATTGGTCTTGCAGGGCACGATGCCCTGCCATCCTGGCATTTATAGTCTGTATATACAGATATAGATATCGCTTTAGATGTAAATATGGGTGTAGGTATAGAATCTATAAATAGATATAGGTAACCTGTACAGATACAGGTATCGATACAGGTCTAGATATGGGGTGAACGCTCACAGCTCGGGGTTCAGAGCCTATGTATTGGTCCAAGGTTTCGAGTTGAGAGTTGAAGCGACAGGGTTGAGGTACTGCTGCTTGCCACTTAGAATAGGGTTTCGCGGTACCATATACCTACTCATGACAGGGAAGACCAAAGAACAATACTGGCAATTATCCTAACCTTCGATTTCTGCTGCTTACATGGTGCCGTCATGGTTCGGTTGGAGGGCGCACCAAGTGACCTCTGCGTTCGAATCTGGTGGTTTAGGGCTTTGGGGTTTAGGGCTTGCGGGTTTCAGGTTTCCTGCTTCGGGTCTTGGGCCTCGTGTAGCATCCGGAAGTCTGCCCTTGAATGGACGTGGTCAGAACTACAAGGAAATGAGGCCTCGGTCCATTGACCTCATCCGGCCTCATCCGCTGGACGTCTGCAGAGTGCAATTGGGTTTCCAGTACTGGTTTAGTGACGGTCGCTGTCCGCAGTGCTGTTAATGCTGCTCTTTGTGCTGCGCTCGCCATTGCTAATTAGTCTTAAATTTGCTTTTGCATAGCACGTTCTGGCTGACACCGGCAGCCGCACCTGAAAACTCAGCCCGAGCCCCACATCCCCAAAGCCCACCCGAAACGTCGACCTTACAGCTCAAACGCACGAGATGATCTACGGAGCAAGGCAGAGGAAATCCGAATTGACATGCCAGGCTCGCCCATGAAACCCAGTGGTGTTTCCGGCCACCTCTTTATGTTGACCTGCACACTTCTTTAGCCGATGGCTGTACGGGCGCAAGGGGCATAAGGTTCTTCACGGCTACGTGAAACCAGGGCCCCTCAACCATCGAGTTTACCGCGCTGCTGGAAACAAGGTGAACTCATGGCTTGTTTTCGGCACTCCAAGGGCATGCAGATTGTGACTTCGGACTCAAGCCCAAATTTTTCAAACAAGGTCCAGAGTGGGCCAAAGTTGCTCGCCCATCATTTCAAAGTTGCAAAGATGCAAGTCTGTGGGAGATTCAGAACTTTGCAACGCAAGTATAAACAATGACGATATGGAAGCAGTTGGAAGATAGGAGACACTAACACTAACTTCTTCATAGTAGGATATTAGGATCCCTATATCATTAGCATTGCAGGATCCCCATATCATAGTCGGATAGTAGGATCCATCTATCATCTTTGCCTGGGACCCCTCAGTGAAAGAAACCCCGATTTGGCCTCTCGTATCTCCGGCAAGCAAGTCCGAGTCACTGCTTCAGGTCGTCTATATAGAGTTCTATATGAAGGAGGTTTCTATCTAATTAGGGTTCCAAAGTGGTACCATAGGGTTCCTACAGTATAAGGCTAGTATCGGGTTACTATGTCTTTAACGTCTTTAAGTCACCAACGCACACCTCAACGCTAAAAGCACTCACCTTGACCTTGACGTCAATAAGGCCACTGGCTAACAAATGCAATCGTAATGATGGGCGTAATAGTTATCCGAATCGTAATGTTTGTAGTGCTAGCAAGGGCAAGAGTGATAGTGATAGCAACAGTGACAGTAATGGTAACACTAATTGAGGGTTTGGAGTACGACCCAGCGAACAGGAGCAGGAATGATGCTAGCAAACAGCAGCGGAAGCGACCCAAACACCGAAGGCTTCCATACTCGGGCCCTGGCACCAAGGTACTCAATCGGATAAAAGATCCTGGCTTCTTGGCCAGTCGAAGGTCGTTGAGTGAATCCGGACTTGTAAAAATTAGCCGCAGACCGTGGCATAACTGCATGGGGGCAACACACAGGATACTATTGCTGCTCATTCAGATCCCTTGTACGCTTTTGGTAGACTCTTTCTCCCTGATGAAGGACTCTAAATTAAACCCTATAGGCCCTATACATGCAGCCGAACCAACCCTGAAAGCTACACAACATGCAGCCGAACCAACCCTGAAAGCTACACAACTGCAAAGCCCAAACCAAACCTCAACCATAACCTTAAACCAGCCCTAAACGGCAAACCAACCTCAAACCTAAACCAAACCTTAACCGCATGTTCAATCATGCTGGCAGCACATCTTGACTCCCACCCAATTGGTGCCATAGCCAACGACTGCTGCAACGACCTCGGTCGCAAGAGCAGCAGCCATCGGCGAAATATGCGAGTTTCAGGAGATAAGGACACCTGATGTACACCCTAGGTTCTAGATTCGAAATTCTGGATCAGCGCTTGTGAAACGCCATGTGATGAACCAAGCCCGTGGCTCAAGTCAATTGCAAGTTTGCCTCTTCATCCCGCAAAAAAATCCGTCACATCGTACACAACCGGCGCTCTCAACCCAAGACCCTACCAAACTTCACCTACTGTTCTGCAAGAGACTCAAGCTCTAAACCCGAATTGACGGTGGAGGAAGTCGGCTCTTCCTTCTCTGCACGGCACTGTGACACATTAACCTTTCTAGTTATGCTCGGCTTGCGAAAACCGAGATGGGCTAGCCTCTGCTTTCGAAGTGGGAGGATGGTAGAGGCTCGAAAAAAACTCATGTGAGCCCGAACAGGCTAAACTTTCCACTTATGGTAGGACTGTATCAAACCATCACGGTTGACCGTTCTGGTGATGGTAGGATTATAAAAACCTGAAAGGTTAACCTGCTCAGCACCCACGCCCTCACCCTCTTCCTGGTAGACTCCTGACTCTCTTTGCCTTGGTGCCTCCGACGAGAGCCTAGTTACACCCTAAACCCTAAAGCCTACCCTAAACCCCTAAACCTTAAACCCAGCCCCAAACTCCTAAGCCTAAAAACCCTACAGCAAGCCCTTTCTCCGTCTGAGCCATCCTCGGGTTCCGGCGGGGATGGTGACGTAGGCCCACATGCCGCCATAAAACGTTCGCCACACCTGGCTTGATCGTACGGTGCAAGCCTGTTTGCAGGGAGCTCCTTTATCCAACAAATCCACGGGGTCTTCGGAAGGCCACCGGGGCCAGGAGATCTACTGAGGCATCGCCAAGAGAGTGGCTTGCAGGATTCATGGTGCTTTGTGTGAGACTTAGGAAACAGACTGCATGCCAGGCTCGTGCGTCGTGGGCTACACATGACCCCTACTACTCTTACCTTTGGTTAGTAGGGAATGGAAGAATGGTAGTAATAGTAGCTATAATCGTACCCCATTCCTCCATTCCCTACTAACCAAACGCAAGTACTGTAGGGTTCAGGGCCACTGGTTCTGAGTCATTCAAAAAGGGGGCTGAAAGGGAAACCCTCCACGCCTCTCTGGCAATAGCCACTGCAACGGGCGCCACGGCAGATCCTCAGCCGAGAATTCGATGTCCCACTTCCGGGGTTAAGGGAGTAATTAGGGTTTGGGTTTAGTACTGCTCGGGGAACTTTCAGGGGTCCTTTCAAGTTGTTGATCTTGTCCAGTGTGAAGCCTTAACCCTGCATCAGCCCTAAATCCCAGGCTCCGAGACGTTGAACCCTATGCGCTCTAAGCAGGCTCTGAAACCTTACAACCCTAAACCCTCGTATCGAAGTTTCGATGTTTGCGGTCTCAAATAATTTCCAGAAAACCTAGTTTCTGGATCCTTATGTTCTTGTGGACCCCTACCTCCAGGAAGCCAAGTCAGATTGTACCCACAAGCCCTAAGCCTAAAATCCTAAGTCCTAAGCCCGAAACCCCGAACAAATCCCCAAGCCCTAGACCCCAAGCTATTACAACCTCCAAACCATTCGCAAATTTTGGGAAACAACCACATCCAAGGCCCCTGACGACGCACCCGTTCGCGCGCCCCGTCTTCGAAGGGAGTCTCAGTCGGGGAACGAATGTTAAATTAAGGATGTTTCAGGTGTAGAGTTTAGGATGCAGTGTGGGTTCACACGCACAGACATATAGACATAACCATGTGTATATATATATATATATATGTATACATGTTTAATACATAT